ATTCAAGACACTTCCAAAATCATTTGAATTCAAAGTACACCACGGCAGAAACATTTTGTGGTGTTCTTCCTACAGTGAAATGTACAAATATTAATAAAATGTGGATAGTATGTGGACAGGACATGAAGCAATCTACTTGACTCTACTTCAACATCAGATCAGAAAGTTAGCAAGGATGTCCATGAGACCTAAGAAAAACCTAAGCTGTGTCTAGAAATAGGCTTATGAAAGCAGTGGTGATGCATCAGTGACATCACAAAAGGCCATGTGAGCAAACTACCATTTCTGAGTGACGTCACAAAGCCCTGTAACTCAGATACAACAGACTAGGCAAGAATCAAGGGAGACTACAGCTTGTCTTGTACTTCACAAGAGGAGTAGAGCACTTTCTGACAGGTAGTAAAAAAACAAAAAATAGAGGACTTGTTTCTGACAGCCATTTAGATATCCAGGCAGCTGTGCCAGCGAGCCTCATCTCCCTTCATGGAAAGGCAAATGAAGGAAGAGCAAATCAGGTAAGAGTTTCTGGTAAATACAGTTATTGAGCTATATCTCAAAATGCCTGGAAGCAAGCATAGCCTAAGACATGGGTGGGCAATCTCAGGCCAGACAAGGGGCAAATCTGGTCCTCTCAGGCTCTAATCTGGCCATCCAGGGTTCCCTGCCCTGTTTGTGTTTGTGACCCCCTCCATAGTCCAGAAGGTCGATGTGCCTCTCTTGCAGCTTAATGACAGTAAAAGCTTTAAGCTACAGTATGCTGGTAGGGATGGGTTGACCCTGTTTTCCTTTGGCCCTGCTCCCTCTTGACTTCTACCCCACCCACTATTAGAATGTAGGCCCGGAGAACTCTCAAAAAGAGTTCATTTCTAGCTTAGAGAATGGATCCCCCATGGATAACAGACCCTGCATCTTTCCTATCTTTCTGCCCTCCATTCATTCATGGAAGTACATGAAGAGATGGGGAGCCAGTACAGGATTGGCATGAATGTGATCCAGCAGAAGAATGGGAAAATTGTTGTTTAATTCATGAATAAAGGCCTGAGTTGAGACTCATACTTTAATGTAAAGGTCAGCAGAAGGGCGGTCTGAAGATTACCTGCAGAAGAGAGATCTGTGGCAGGTCAGCAGAGATATCTGACTCCTGTTCCTTGTAGCAACATTTCAGCGGCAATGCAAATAAAGAAATGTTCACTGAAGCTAGTCCTTCAGATGTCTTAAAGTTATTTTCTGTCACTCACCTTTGGTGTCTTGGGGGCCAGGATCCTTTGTGGGGTGGAAATCATGTTGGATCTGGCCAGTTGTATCAACACTGTTAGGCTATTTCACCACACAGAAAGCAGAAATTTGACATACCTAGTCAAAGACTTTCCAGTTACTAGAAATTGACTTTTCATAACTACTGCTGAAAAACTAAGAAGGAAGCTATGTTCGTGACCATATTTTGCTGCATTTTATGAAAATTTATAATAGACGTATCACACATAATAACTGAGATGCTCAGAGAAACAAAAATAATGCTGCTGAGCATCTCTTTTGATTGCACTTGTATTTGGCGGTAACTTACTACTTCATTCTCAAATGACCTTCCACCGGCAAAACAATTTTACAGCTCTTTTGCTTGCAATAGTATTTATAACACAAATTGTGACACAAAATGTTGATGGAAATCAAAATGACGCAAATATTTCAATGTGTCATGAGAAATGAAAAGAGGGTATAGCTTTATTTTTCAATCTCATCTTCATAAAACTTCAGCTATTTAAGCTGTTGAATTCTCTGTACAAGATTTGCAGGTGTGCTTCTTCACAGATATAATCCTAATTAAGACACTCTTCAATCCTGAACAAGAACTAAAAAACACCGAAACCAGTAAGACATACTTCTGCATTATGTCCTCAGCCAACATAAAAGCGTTGGCACTCTGTGCAAGCAAGTATTGAGCAATGCTTTCTGAATGCATGCAGCTTTCCAGGAAACTAAAGAGGATTGAACAATCTGTATTCAAATAGAGCTATGTGTGGAGTTGACCCCCAAAGTATTTTAATGCAGCCATAGGATCTGGGCACATGTGTTTAGAATTAAGGGGCTGGCATTTTGGATAGATCTTCATAGATGTTCACCTTACATTAGGGAACATAACCTGAAGACCCAGATTCATACTGAATCCTCAGGCCTATCTCTAGAGCTGATCTGATTTTTTCTAGAATTGGTCTGATTTTATCCCCTAAGAAAATGCGTAAGATTTTTTTTCCTTTTTGTCCAACCCCTATTTGTGTCCTCCTACCCCAAAAAGAAAGCCTCTGTGCAGAATATTCTCTGAATATGCCCCATTTGGGGGACATGCCACCTGCCCACCATCTCCATACATATGATGCCCCAGGATGATGCTATAGGTGCTGGACACTGCAGAGAATGGAAACTGGTGGCCAGGCTGAAGAGGAAAAAGATATAAACCACTTGCTCTTCCCCACATCTCCCTAACATTTGTATTAGGGCTATATATTTTAGTTGTAGTTGTTATTTTATTATTCTTATTTTCAAAGTTTGCGCTATTGAGGTTTTATTGATTACTGGAAACTGACCTGAAAGTCTATTGCTCTTAAAGGTGGCCTATATAATAAATAATACTAACTATATTTAAGAGTCTAATCCATGTTGGTGACAGCAAATCATTCCCTTCCCACTGCTATAAAGTTCATACAAGAGTCTGTTTTATGTGAGCCTGGAGGCAGATTACACTGAAAGCCTTGGGAGGCAGGGATGGGTGTGAAACACACTCCACTGAGTATTTTTAATGGATTTACCCAATCAGCCCTTCTCAAGTGCTTTAGTGAGTTGAAACAGTTGTCTTCCAGATTTCAGAGTTTTGTAAGCTTTTCAGTGCAGCTAGCCTTGGGAGAAAGGCACGTATCCCAGAAAAATGTACTTTTGTGAGAAGTACACAAAAACCACATTTCAGCTATATATAAGTATCTGGAAAATACAGTTAAAACATGCACAAAATGTGTACATTGATGTGCATATTAATCATACAGAAATGTATGAATTACCATACAGGGGTTTTTTTGTTTAAAAATGATGTGCTTGGGCAGAAACAAGGTGTAAGACATTTAATCTTACAAAATGTCAGTGAGACTAATCCAAAATATTTTTAGTAGCAGTTCTTTATGGCAAAAATAAGACACACAGAATATGCATGGCTGCTGTCTTTGAGAAGGATTTGAGTCTTTTGTTCCCTGTTCTTCTACAAATGCAAATGATATAATCATCACATGACTAGTGTCACATCACATGACAATCTATTATGTGTTGCTACCAATGAAGAGTTGTCACGTTGTACAAACAAAACCTATTCCTGCAGGAATTGAAGGTAGCAAGCCACCCTGACAACTCATGGCTTGTGGTAGGGTTTATCAAAGCCACAATAGGACTGTGTGTCACCTGAACCTGAGCAACCTCGGTACAGGTCATCAGTTAGCAACTTGTTGGTGACACAGACACACACAGCTCTGGAACCCCTCAGTGCCAGACATCTCAAAAGTTCCCAAATGGCACTTGGGAAGTTCCCAAATAGCACTTTGCTACAGCTGCAAGCTGCTTCAGACTTGTTGTGGCTTTTTACCTTTGAACTTTTTAAAAAGGATCTCTCTTTTGACAGCTTTTGTGATTCCTGTTTGGACAGCTACAGACTGTTCCTTTAAAGAAAGGAGGGGCTGCTGATAGTTGCCTAACAATTAAAAATCCCATTTTATTACATTTTGCTATTATTATCATTATTACTACTATTATTTTACAAAATTTCAGTTGCACTTATGCAAGGGTGGACACCCACAATGGCACAGGAGAAGGAATGGAGAAGCTGGTGAGCGATCAGCAGGAAGGAGCAACCTGCAAGAAAGTGGAAAAGTCCAGCAAAAACACACCCTCTATTGACCCACGGAGTTTCAGATTATTTATTTCCCCCTTTGTTTACACCTGATGGCTGTCAAGTGTAACCAAAGGCAGAAGAGATCAGCTCATGAAAGTAGGTGATGGTTTGTTCACCCCCTTTGCAGCAATTCCTTGTGTTGGGTGTGTTTTTGGACTCGTGTTATAAGGATGCCCTCACTACAGCATTTGTTCCCAAGGTTTTCCACCTAGGGAACATGCAAACGTACAAGCACATGGGAGTAGTTAGGTTTGACAGCTGTCAAATGTAAAACTCTAAAGTGGGATTTGGAAAGCTTTTAAAAATGGTTGCCAGGAAACTATATAGGTAAGTATATTTAGCTCCACCTCAGCAATAGAATGCTAAGTGGCTTAAGCAAGCACATGCACTTTTTAAAATCAGGGCTGTTAAATGTTGTGTCTGTCCCCATGTTAACTACAGTACATTTGGATTTCCACAATTCCTTGCTGAAATTGCTGGTCCAGGCTTTCTCTTTATCCTTATTGAAAACTGGAGCTTAGGCCAACACCTGTTTGTTTTTTAATTAAAAATGAGTGGATCTGAAAGCAGGAAATGGAAGAAATTTAAATGGGAAGGGACAAGGGTAGTACTTTAGTTTTGAACTACTGCCCTGGCTGTGGCTCTACAGTGCAACTGCAAACAGAATTTCCGGTTCTGAACCACTAAATAGCAAATTCTCAGCATACTGTATTCAGCCTGTCATAAACAAATATTCTAGGACTAGAAGCATTTCCAGATTTATATTCAGCACTAAAAACAGAGACATATCAATAACAGTAGGTCCTTTTAGAGTATTAGTCCCTGGCTTGGTATTCACTCCTATCTGGGCTGCTGCATTGCAATGATTACAATAAAGCTGAACTGTGTGGAAAAGGAATTAATGTACTTCTTTGGCCTTACTCCCTGGTATGTGCCAGATGCCCAGCTTTTGCAAGGCTATTCAAATTTATAAACAAGTGTACATTTTTGAAGATAATAAAAGAAAAATACACATCTGGGACAAAACATAATTAGAATCAGAGTCATAAAAAGATGAAAATGCAGACTACAGTTTAAATCTGAATTGCCATGCTAGGCCAAGCTTATTTTATTACATACATTCTGCTTTCTAAGTACTAGTTAAGTTCATAATGTAAACATGAAGCATACAGAGTTAAAATTCAAGGCCACAATATTTCTGATTGTCCCTTTTTGTGTCTTTGGTTGGCCGAGATCAACTCGTAGTGTATAAATGCATAAGTTATATAATTATTATATAAAAAGAAAAAAATAACGTTGACTTGTATATTTCATTCTGACAAACGCACAGCGTTCGCGACTCAGAAAAGAAAAACTGGCGCTGCCTAACAAAAATATCTATATGATTTCAGACTTTGGCAACTGGGGATTGTCCCTTACCTTCAAGAAGTAGAAAACAAATTCCCTTAAGAAGAATGAGGTCCTAAGCGTTAATCTTAAATATTAGACAATTCCAGTTTTACATTTTTATAAAGAGATGCACACTCTGGTATTACTGCTTTCCCCTTTTTGGACTTTAAAAAATCAAGTCTTTTCTTTGATAATACTGGAAATGGCATAATACTCAACAACAATATTTCTCAAGTCCAAACAAGTACTTCTTCATAGTCCGAATACTGTCCAGTTTCAGTTCCCCCATCCTCAGGGGAAAAGTTTCTCCTTCTCGCTTATCACCCTTGTCCTCCTCCTCACTCCTTTCCACTTCATGTATCAGACATAAGGTTACAGTAGTGCTCATGTGCAGCTCTCATTCATTTCCACGGGGCTTGCACAGAAGAACTTCCTGACATATCGTGCCCTTAGTCTACCATCATACTCTTGCCCTTTAGCACATCCTCAGTCCCAATATTTGGCTCAGAGCTCCTTAACACTGTCAAGAAATCTTAGCTTGCCTTGTCTTCACAGTTTGAAATGGCTGATCCCCTCCTCTCAATTAAGGGATGCATTTATATTCATCCCAGCTAAAACTGCTGCATTCAAAATCAGGTTCTGCTCTAGACAAATAGTTATGACACTGTTCTGTCTGTTTGCTTTAAAAATACAGGGAGCATTTTTATGCATTCATATATTCATACGTATCATACCCCAGTTCATGGCTGAATTATTCTTATATTGCTGTAGAGTCCCAGTTTGCATTAGCGTCACACATGATGTGAAAGCTTATAAACCTTTTCTGACTCCAATGTTGTGGTTTATCATTACATACTTTTATCTAGAACAGTATTTCAATGTTTGATCTGTAGATTTGATGTCAACATACTCTACATAGTAGCATCTTTAAACTTTTTTAACACTCTCCTGTAATCCTTATAAAAACACTTTTATATGACATATTTTGGTCCTATTCAACCTTGTCATGTCTTTTAGGCACTTTTTGTTCATGTTCTCCAATAAAATTCAATATAATTCATTGCATTCCATGGAGAAATATCCTTTGAAAAATATTTTTCTTCCTTTAGTAGTAAGTGCCAAGGTGAGAAGGCATATGGGTGGCTGGAAGCCTAGTATTAGGATAGATACTTCCAGTTGGTGAATTCCAATATGGAGTGGGTCCGGCAAAAAAGTTGGAAGATGTGACAGGCAAAGCAGGAGCATGGGGAGAAACAAAGTTCATTTTCTGGGGGTGTGCATGGTAGGAGCTCATGTAGGGCAGGTCTGAGGGATATTTGTACATTGATGATTCTGGAGGATGTGGCTGGAGGGCTTGAGCAATTCCGTGGAAGTCAAACTTGTAGGCATAACGCTTACCATGGACTTTAGTCATTATGTTTTTGTCATAGTAGTAACGTAAAGCACGACTGAGCTTGTCATAGTTCATGTTGGGCTTGCTCTTTCTTTCTCCCCAGCGTCGGGCGACTTCATCAGGGTCAGTCATCTTGAATTCTCCATTGGTGCCCTCCCAGGTGATACAATTAGAATTGGAGCTGTCTGACAGGAGCTCCAACAAGAACTGCCACAGCTGAATTTGCCCACTCCCTACGGGCAGAAAGGAAATAGAGGGGGAAATAAGTAAGAGTGAGAGCTAAAAACATTCTGGTACGCATTTTCACAGATGTGGGCAACTCATGGCCAGTGGGCCACATGTGCCCCTCAGGCAGCTTCCTTGTGGCCCACAGGCCTCCCCCTTCCTGGCTACCTAGTGAATTAGCTAGAATTGTCTGAGGAGTGCACTGAAACGAGGGCTGGTCCATGACAGGACTGCAGTGATCCCTTTAATGACCAGCTGATAAGTGTACATGATGGTGTGCCTGTGCTTATAGTTATGGCTACTTTCCAACAGTTTTCAAATAGGGTTTCGTGGTATGATGAGAGCACAAAAATATTTGCTATAGTGACAGAAACCAGATTTATATTATTTACATTTCACTATCAGGATTACTAATGGTTAAAAAACAAGGGGCGGAACAGTTTCAGAATGGGGACCAAATGGCCTCCACTTGGTCTGTTGTGGGCCAGATTATGTTAGGGGGCCTAGGCAGGCCCTTGTCAGCTGGAGCCATGGCCACACACCCCTGAATTCAAAATGTGGGTCTAGGCTTCTGACATCATCTAGCCCCCTGTCAAAGCACCGAGGATACTAAATCTAGATTTAAGGAGAGATAGAGTTGCAAAAATTCTTCCGTGAAACATGGGCAACCCTTTTACACTGCAGTACAAATGCCCAGTAATGTGAATAGTAAAGAGATTTCTTTATAGCACAATCCTATATGTGCTTATGTTGAAGCATGTACACTGAGTTCAATGGGAGATAGAACTCTCAGTAAATATTCTTAGGACTGCAGTCCTTTAGGCAGTAATCTTAGATTTACCTAGGAATAAATACATTGAACTCACTTGGGAAGACTCCATTGATAATTTTAAGTAATTACAGTTTTCCTCAAATAGTAGCCTCCACACCATGCGCCAAATTTCTTTTGTAACCACGGAACTTTCAAACAGTATCTCAGATAAACTGGGTTAATTTCTTAGATAACTCTGTTTTCCAGTTTGCTCCTGTTGCCCTTTGGCTCATTAATTATTTTCAACATCATTTCAAAATGACTGAACTCAGAGGAACACAAGATATCAAATTCCATCACTGGTTTAAACTTGCAAGAAAATTCCATTTTGTAGATGAAACCCATAAAGCAATGGTATTTCTTCATACCTGGATTTGCAAGACGGCTGCTGGTTGGACCAAGAATTTGGTAGGGATCTAGACAAAGATTAAAATTGATTGAAAGAAATAAGCATAACCAAAGCTTTGTTTTAAATGATATTTTCAATGCATTTCTAACTTGAGTTGTGCTAGTTGGCTGAAGATAAGATGCAACTGAATCCCGTGTGCCAGTGTAAGTCTTCTTTACAACAGCATAACGTTTTGGTGGTGATCTAACTGCAAACCAGTATTCCTACCATTGTGACACAATTACAAAGGCTTCAGAAACTGGGATGGGCAGAGCAGGAACATGGAGAAGACTGTCCAGGATTAAGTGCTACAGCCGTCCCTGGCACAAAGTTAAAACAAACAGAATGGCTGCTGTAACTAAATCTATCCCATTAAGATGGATGGCGAGCCCTTGAGCAGTGCCATCTTTTTGTTGTGGTTCAGCTACTATGCTTTTGGAAGATGTTTGGTGGCCAGTCATGTAGCCACACCCATCAGCAGGCTGTGATGATGAAGAAAACTACATGGTACGCTGCTGAGTCTTTGACTTGTGAGATTAAGAACCGGAAGATCTTTCGGAATGAATGAATTAGTGCCTTCGGCTCCCTCCAGGATAGGATGGCCAAAGTTGAGGGTCTGCACTTCAGTCAGTCAGCCTCTAAAATGGCATCAGGGATGAAAATCTGGCAACTCCCTGTCCTTCTGATTCAATCCACTGGCAACTGTAATGGGCAGAATGGAGGGGATGGATAAGGTCTGGTTGGATCTGCAAATGCTGGTAATCAAATAAAAAAGAGAACCATGGCAGAATGGGATTAAGGGGGCTGGCAAAGTGAAGGTGTTTAGACAGCTATCTAAATATGGCTAACAATATTTCTAACATTCTGTGACCAGGGACCGATCCTAGGACCTCTTGCCTGTTGCGCTTCTGTGTTTCTCTGAGCTGTATGGCTGAGGTCTTTCCATGCATGTTTCTTGGGGAAGGGAAATGTCACAGGTCAGCCCTCTGTGACATTATGAAGCTGCTACAAAATCCTCTTCTCTGTTTCTTTGGCTGGAGTGAAATACTGCAGAGCAATGCCACAGCACACTGCCTTCTTAAGTATAAGGTGAGGTCACAACTCCCTTTTCTATTTTAAAATGCAGTCAGCCAGAGCTGTGATAGGTTGGCGACATTTTCATCTGTCTAGGCAAGGTTTCCCCAGACTGGTGCTGTCCGAATGTGCTTGACTGCAACTCGCACAATATCCAGGCATCCTGACCAGGCTGATCTGAGATTCTAGTTTCCTAGTACTAAGCTACCTGACAGCTCATGGGATTGTCTCATATGAGCTTGCAGTTGCTGTTGCAGTTATTCCCTGGCTTCCCTGTCCATGTTGCCTTATCCCTTTCCTTTCTCTAGCACAAAAGAAGTGTGTGCAGCTTTCTCAGTTCCCCGTACATGGAATCCCTGCTTTCCTTATGTGACCTGAATCCTTCTGCTAGGCAGGGAGGAGCCATGACAGCCACAGGGTTTACATGCAGGCTTCCTACCAGCCCCAGGGCCTCGGCCATTGAACCAGGGGTGTGCAAAGAAAAATCAGGCTGCCTGAAAATGAACGGAGGCCCCTTGAGCGGGCTATTCAAAGAGGTGGTTCAGTTCAAAAGAATGCTTGAAGGGGCCAAATTCCTTCCGCCTACTGATCCTGGCCCCCAAAGGAGAGGCTTACCGTGGGAGCAGAATGGCAATGAAGATCAAAAATAATTAATGAGGCTGACAGGACTTGCAGTTCAACCGTCACAATCCCAAGCAGAATAATGTGCTACAGCCCTCCATGCTTTAGAAGTGACATGGAGGAGGGAAAGCTCGCCTAACTTGGCTGCTGCCTGAGCCTGTCCTTACCTTCCCCAGAAAGTAAGCTTATTCCCTTGTCTCCTCTCTCCCCTGCTCCCCTTGCCTCTAAACCCCATCTCTGTAGCAGTTCTTGCTCCCTCAGAAACACAGCTGGTGTGGGTCTTTGTGTACCAGCTGAAAGCAGGAAGGATTTGGCACATGGAGCTCAGTTATGAGAGCTCATTCCTGATCTGGCAGCTGGGTCTCCAAAACATCCTATCACTGTAGACTCAGTCTAGCAACCATAAGTTATCTTACAGTGTGCACATGGCATCTATCCACATCTCTGGTTTTAAAATATGTTGTTTGAAATGTCACAGTTAAGACACCCCATAAAATAATAGTTTAACTCTAGGACAGTTTTCAGTAATGACTGTTAACTGCCCAGCTCTGCTCAAACACTGTTCCAAACATTCCAAACACAAACAGCAAAATGGCATTCACTATAGACATACCTAACTGAGGACGCTGATCTTCTGTTTTGGGCACAGTTGAAGATGATGCTTGGGCAGCTGGGAAACAAAACAAAGCAACACATTCACCTGTTTTTTCCAGTTTGAAATTGTCTACTAGGCCTATCAGTGTCAGGGAAACTATGAATAGTTAGTATAGCAATATGCAGATACTTGGTACTTTATGCAGATATTTAGTACTTTAATAATTATCAGATATAATATGAAGTTAACTGCTTTGTGAACAGGAGGTACGTACAGCTGAATGTAGGTACAGCTGGATGGATGTAGCTTCTGGTCACAATTACATAATGTACTCTGGACTGCACAGAAAAAGATCAAATAATTGATATGTATATGCTATTCTGTCATCAGGCCAGAGCCAAGATAGCATACACATGAGTTATGACTGGAAGAACCTTTTACGTAGGGTCTTGAATGGGGTTTTTTGAGTCTAAAATTAAGTGAACGCCACATTCTTCTGGAACGGTATTATAATATTTCCACTGGATTATGACTTGACATGAGAGAACAAAGATGCTTTACCTTTAGATTGGGGAGTGGGATGACTGTGGCTTGTCCAGGCTGACCTCCTAGCTGGTTCATAAGGTATATCTGTGTGAAAATCAAACCACTTCAAGTATATATGACAGAAAGCTGATGAGGAAGAAATCTGACATGACAAATCTCTCCATGTCTGGTGCTTCCTGAAGTAGTACTCCTAATGGTAACAACTCACCATAGTTGATCGCTGCACTGTAGTAAATCTAAATTATAGGTCTTTTCTGCAATAATCCATCCAATTACCACTCTGCAAAATAATCTTTTCCTAAAGTTATAATCATGCTTGTTGTCTGGCTTCTAATCTGCATCCAACTAAACTGATTTTTTCTTGTGCTTATTTTCACTCTCTATGGATGGATGCTCACAGTCATGGATGGAAAGATGAAATTACCACTAAATAGACAACTCAGAGCCACTTTCTTCCCTTCTATATTACACATGTGCTAGAACGAGTTGTTTAGATCCTGTGGCTATTCTTAGCTTTTGTTATAAAGCAGAAATAGGCTGAAATATGATTTGAGACTAGAAATTCTACATTGCTTTTTGGATAAACATTCTAATGAAATTTTAGTGTGGGGTTCATCATAAAGCAAGCTCATTATTCTGCTCTTTCTGAAATGATGCCCCCAGATTCTAATTCACGGCAAGAAGAGGTTGCAGTTGATTTCATCTGAAGCAAAAACAATTGCATATTCCAGGATAAGCTAAATCCGCCACAAAATGTGTTGTACCTGTTAATAAAAAGTCCTCAATTGCATGACATCTAAACATGCCAGTCTCAGCACCTTTATGCTATATGCCACCCTTCCTCAAAGTGGTGCCCTCCATATGATTTGGATTATAACTTGCATCCTCCCTGGCCAGGTGGACAGGGGCTGTAGTTCAAAATACCTGGGGTGGCCACAGATTGAAAAGGCTGATGTCCTGTGCAACGTATACAGCGCTGAATCTAGCGCAATGTATGTGCATGACAAAGTATGAGCACAAAAAGCTTGTCCCAGTGAAGCCTGGCACCCCACAGATGTGCAGGCGACAACTCCCATAATTCCTCAGCTGGCGCACTAGATGAAAGATTTGGGGAATTACAGTCAAACCCATCTGGAGGCAACCAGGTTGGGGAAGGCTGGGTCAATGCTCCTGAATTAAAATTTATTTTATAATCTTCCCATGTTTATGACAGTGCTTTTATAACATCTTTAAGAGACATGTGCACCAATTATGTTTTTAAAATCTTAATGCAAAATAGATTCCTTTAATTATAGGACTTGCTTTGTTTCTGGTTTGAATCAGGTGGCCATTTACTAGTTGATATACATCTACTTGAGAGCAACTTTGACAGTAATTCTACATCAACAACTGATGGATATTCTGAACATCAGTAGGGTATGACCCAAGTGTTTTTGTCAAAGATTGCTCACTTCAAATATCCAAAGGGCCTAGAGCTCCATGCTAATGCTTACTTGATTGTCAGAGAATGATACCTAGATGCATTTAGTGCTTTTAAACACAGCTGGCTCCATAGCTTGGTTTACAACACCAATATTAATAGTAACTTTGTATTAACATAAACTTAGGAGGTCTGGAACAGCTGAAGAGAGAGAGTGTGTGTGCACATGCATGTCCCATCTTTCCACTGGACAACCATCTGTCTTGTGTTTGCAGCCTTCCTGGCATCACGTAAACCTTTGGAGAAGACTTGAGGAGATAACTCCTCCCATGGGCCTTTTTCAGATCAGGAACTGGGGACAACCAGGAGTGTCAGGGGGACGTGTAGCAAGAAGGAATTCGGGAGAAGCCACCTTTATACCAGTTGCTGGGGAACTTGAGTGGCAGGGGGCTATTGCATTCATGCCTACTTGTCCACACAGTGACCGACAGGATCTGGCTGGCCACTGTGTGGCATCCTGCTGTACAAGGTAGGCCTTTGGGTCTGATTTAGCACAGTCCTCCTTATCCTCTATAGGATAAGGTAGGCTTGCAAACACAACTCAAACTTGTTTTTAAATCTAAAACTTTCTGAAAATGAAGCTGAAATGAGTTAAGGTAATTTTAAGAAAATAGGAGAACAGATTGCAGGACAACATAGTAGTGCTTCTAAAGTTCCTTTCTTCTTATGTAATTCACTTAGCACTGTATTGACTTAAGTTGGAACCCATTTTAGACTATAAAGGCCCTTGAAGTAGCTTACAACAGCACTGACATATCAAACATAATTTCTTATTTGTTTTTCTGCTGAAAGAATACATCAAACACTGTTCATGGGGCTTTTTGTTTTTTTAGCTAAGTTGTTTTACAAACACTAATTGTGAAATGCCAAAAGTATGGGTGTTTATGGCAATTCATCATTTTCCGACAGTTTTGAGATTTTCACAGCAGCAAATATTTTCATCATCTATCTTTGGAGAAAAGACAACATAATGACAAAATATCCATTTCAGTTGGAAAGTGTTTGCTTGGAATTTTTTCATTAGTCCTGTCACAGCAGTCTGTGCAATTGAACAATTCCACTGAACAAGTTCTGAGTGCATCTATCTTTTTATATACGATAGTACTATTTTCTAAAGTAGGACTAAAAGCAGCTCAGTAAGCCAAACTGGTGCTTATTGAGGAAACAAAAAACCAGCATACCTGGCCTGCTGGTAATTCTTTGTGTCGCTTCAGGATATACTGAAGTATTTGGGAAAATAAAAGCTGCACCTCCTGCAGACAAGAAGAAAAGAAATCAGAGTAATGGTACATTTAGTATATTTATTGGAAGAAAGCTTCTGTATGTGTATTGGAATTGGACTATGGTAGAGCATCTGATCTCCCTTTCAGGTATTCAATTGAAATTAAGCTCAATTCCAGGACAATACCTTGGCAAGCAAGAAAGAAGGAAAACATATTATTTTCCAATTAGGAGAGGCTATACCTAACATGGCAGCTGGTTTCGTATTTGTTCTGAAATATTAATTCTGTGAGTCCTCCTTGTGGAAGTCACTCGCCTAATACAGATGTAGGCAACATTAAGTTTGCAGGCCCTAGTAATTTCCCCCAACCTGCATAGTTTCAGTTGCTGTTTTGTGGTGACTTGTCATAAGTTGGCAGCTCTGAGGTAAAGCAGTGAAATCTAATGAGACAGGTGTGGCCTCCAACCTCATGCTATTTACCAGTCATTTACTGCACACACCTGCTATCACAGTTCTCAAGCTCAGAATGATGAGCTTTTGATAAGAAGTTTGGAAAATGGATATTATTTCTAGACTATTTAGTACATTTAGAGAAAAATGGAGGAAAATATGTGTGCTTTGTTTAGTGATGGACTAGGACTGGCAAGACCCAGGAAGCTCCAGAGGTGACCCCAGACTAGTCACCTTGCTCCCTTTCAGTCTAACCTACCTCACAGGGTTCTTGTGAACATAAAATTGGGCAAGGTAGGGCACCATGCATACTACTCTAGGAAGCATAGGATGGAAATTTTAAAAAATCAAAGAACATTAACAAAGAAACTACAAAATCCATCTCCTTTAAAAAAAACAGTGGTAAAATCATAATTTTCAGGTATTTTGGATTCAGGGTTGGCTTGTTTCCCATGCTACTTTTAAAAATCATGGGTGCATCTAGCTGTGCCTTAAAATAAATGAACATATGGTGGAAAGGATGACACTTATGTCTACTTCTAAAAGGACAATTGTGCCCAGCAAAACATGGGAACTGCAATCTCAAGTTATTTAACCTTGCATTAAGCACAATTGCCAGTACTTGAATATGAGGCCACCTGGGAATTCTGTGCACACTGCCTTGAGTTTCATTGTGGAGAATCAGGGCAGATATCAATGTAATAAATAATAATTTGTAGAAAATATAGCACTGAACTGCCAGTGAAAGCCCCATTGAGTTTTGAAAAAGATGCCCAGAGCTAAGACCTTGTTCTTCATCTTATAGAGCTGTTATTTCTGGTCACTATAAGTAATTCAAACCCTCAGGCATGATAATGAGATAGCCCAAACATGTATTCTATCCTCTTAAGGAGATTGCTGTTTTCATATATCTGTGATGCTTCCTAATGCATTTCCATTTTAGTCCCCTTAATTGTAGCACAAATTTGGACAAATATATTTGCAAGCACTGAGAATCAGTAAGGTATTTCTTTTTCTTGTCCTTTTTTCCATTTTATGATCTGACCCTGATGAGTTCCTGCATGGTCGGTCAGCTCACAGGAGGAGAAGAGGAGAGCCTGCTTCCTAATTCAAAGGCCTAAACTCTTCCTAACTCCAAGTCCCAGATTGACACCAGATGCCTTTGCATGAGGCAAGGAAGCATGCAGAACTCATGATTCCTCCCTTTATGCTTCTAGACCTTCTGAAATAGAGAGAGATGCACAGCTCCTGATGCATGCCCCTCTCCCATCCATGGACATAATGTACATCTGCTGCGTGTGGGGGAGATATACATTTTCTGTTCCTCCTAGGAGACGAGGAATCACGGGCTAAGGAGGCAGGAGCTACTCATGTCTCTTTCTCCTGATGCTTCTGTTTCTCCTGTGAATGGATCCACAGCAGAAGCCAACTAGAGCTGCTTCAACAGGGTTTGTTGCCTCTCCTCCGCAATGTAGTAGAGGGAAGGATGCAATAACATTGCACTACTTTGCAAAGGCAAAAACACCCTATTGGTAATGGGTTGTTCTGGGGTTCAGGAGTAGGCAGGATCCCCTATAGTCTGCTCCTCTGATCATATATTTTGGGATAAAGGAGGGCTTGCTGTGCAAGCTAATGTATTGATTATTGCATTCATTTCTGCTCCTTCAGCACTGATGTTCTCTGGATGGCTATTGACTATAGACAACATGATGCAACACTACAAAATCAGTAAGAACCAGAGGCAGCAGCACTAAAACATCAAATCAGAAAGTGCTGAAAAACATATGGTGCATAGCAGGTTTGCAGATATCTAGAAGCCCCAAAGTTAAAACAAGAACAAAAAAAAAAAAAAAAAACCGTTTGCCCAGCACTGAAGTTAGAGCAGTGTGAATGCCAGATGAGCATCCCCTATATGGAATAATGCATGCAAAAAGCCCCTCTCTGATGTGGTAGCCATGGTGACTCCAGGCACCATTGTGTTTGTGGCTGCTATGGCACATTCACAGATCTGCATCAGTCAGTCAGTCAGTCAGAGACATTCAAGGCAAACTGCTGCAGGAATATAATTCTCTGCTTGCACAAAGGCTACATTGCAAAAGGACTGGGGAAATTTGCTGTGGTTTAGCCCATTCAGAGGTTTCATTTCACTCTTCTGTGTCAGGGCCAGCTTCTCTCAGTGAGATGATCAGTTGCTTATAGATTTTATACAGTTCTCCCTGTATATATATTTATGTTAATTTAGGGGCAGCTTAAGCTACAACCTTTTCATCTGCTAAACTTCTGTATGTACAGGGCTGTTTTTCTCCAATAAGGGAGCACATTCAAAGATGCAATTCCAGACCTGGAATTGTGCACACTTTTGCTCTTCTTCTTTGTTGTGCTTCATTTAAAGGATGCGAAAGAGGTGAAGAACAATGGTGGGTATATTTTATGTGTGTTTGCTGGTGTTTGTGTTCATGCAAACATGGGTCAGGACATAGAAACATGAACATCCCCTTCATCAGGGCAAAGATGCCTTTCAGGGGTGCTCATGTACAGCATTATCCCCATTGACTGAATTGCAGCATCTGACCCTAAATGTTTTACTGCTTTTGGACTGTGTGTTTGCCTACATGTTTGTGGGAACTTCCATCAGAACTAGAAAGTGTATTGCACCCTTAAGCCCTGCCTTCTTTCCTAATTTACATTTAGCATGCATCTGTTAAATAGAAAGCCTGAACTTTCAAAATATGGCCTATAGGAAGGGGAGCAGTGACAGCATTACCTGTATTTCTAGCATGCATTAACCGTGGAGAGTTTTGTAAGGCCTTATCAACATCATCTGAAGTCAAATGTGGAAGAGGAGCTACAAAACAAAAAGCAACACCAAAACTTTAAAAAAAGATATTCAGACTTATCTTAATAACCATTTTGTTTTTCCTGTTAGGATTGTTTATTGGAGAATCTAGCATCAAATCACTCTTTCTGGAGTTGGCTTTATGATACTGCTGGAAGCAGGGAATTAATTTAATTCAAAATTTTAGAAGAAAATCCTGATGACTAGTAATCCTATGAAAAAGACAATGTCATGTTGGTGTTGCACTACCTGATTTTTTTTAAAAAATATTTTATTTGTTCACATTATTATTACTTAGATCTGTAACATTTTTCATGCCTCAAGTAACCAATCCACTTTATTTTCTGTCTCTTGATGTGGCCTACAAGTTTCATTTTATTAATATTTAGGGGGCTCTTTTTTCATCACCCTCAAGCATATTAACTTCCATTTCCATGAGAGTCTTATAATATACTCTCTCCGTAGTGGAGAGCACATATATTTAATCATGCCTGGAATTTCTTTAAAAATCAATAAATCTATGATCTCATTTAGAATTAGCATTTCTTTCAGCAATGGAAAGAAGAAAAATCTGTGACCAGAAAAAACATTACTACAAATTCTTATGTAGATGCTGTTCATACTGATTTTGGGTCTTTATAATCACTAAATAGTAATCATTTTTCATATTTGAAGTCTACTTATACAACATTGTAAGCTCAGTATTTAAAGTAATTATTTGGAACAAGTCTTAATGTGGAAACACAGTAGACACAACTTTTTATTAACAAAAAGAAAAGAAAATTTCTTACTCTCTCTGAGGTAGTGTAGGTGTGAAAGGAGAATATCTGCATTGTAGCTTGGGGTAAGCCTCTGGAAGTCATCCTTGGTCATCTTACACAATTCTTTCCCATCAATATTCTGAAATAACAAGATGTCCACATCTGGGAGGCCATATTCCTTGACAGCCCATTCCAGCCATTGCCGTACATGATCTGTGCTCCATAATGTGGGATCTGTTTTGAAAAAGCAGGAAGTTTCATGGTGTTATATTCTGGACCACTACTAAATTGATGGAGCTTTTTCTCAAGGCATATATGCTTCCATGATACAAATTTTAATTATTCTGATTAGCCCCTGGAGACTATTCCATCAATAGGAATCAAAATGGGATGATGGGAATGACTGAAGGGTGCCATCTATTCACATTAAATATAGTTAGTGAGAGTTCTACTATTCAGTTAAGTTGAATGGTACCTTTTGCCTTACACAGAGCAGTGAATTCAGTCTGTGATATATACTCAAAAATGTGGCAGAGAATTCATGGTATCTTGAATAGTATCTATCATGAGAAGGCACAACATTAAGACCCAAGGTGCTCTCCTATGCCCTGTTTACTGCAGCCCTTAGTTCCTAACTCAGGGCGTATCGTGAGGAACAATGCACCAACGGCATGTGTATAACATATCCTGGCACTGGTACACAAGGTGCATCTGCTCATGTTGGTCCAAACTGATCTATCAACTTCCTTAACAGAATTACCTTTCAGATGCTTATAATCTTTGACATCTCTCCAACAAGTTTTGCCTGGTCAAAGAAGGGGTATCATCACTGATGTGTGCAGTCTTCAGTGTGTTTGGCCTATCTGAATTATCTGCCAGTGCATTATCTTTTTATGGTCACAACGACCATAAAAAGTCACAACGACATGCTATTTAACTTAACAAGTCATCAGAAGCTATTTGAGCAAAGCTTCCCTAGATAGTATAGCAACTACAAGTGCAGGCAGCTGACATCAGAAAGCGTCCATTTTATCATTCCCTAAAACAGCCTGGAAAGCAAAAAGATTATCTGAATAAGGGTAGAAGGTTATGCAACAAACGTGCAGCTTGACAAATAACTGACAGAATTACAGCTTGCAGTTTTAGCCACAGCTAGTGTTCTTGCAGGTCCTTGCCACTTCTTAACTGTAGGAACATTAAGCAATACAGCAGAAGCAGAAATGCTTTATAGAAGTTATTTCTGTAGTACTATGAATCCTTCTTTCCTGGTAAAATGGGCTCCATATACAAGAATATACCCAAACTGATAAAAATATATAATGTTTTATTATTAATGGTTTATTATTGGTTCATAAGCATAAATCAGAGAACTTAATAACTCAGTTTGATGTACTGCAGCAAATCGAACCCCATGAACATTTGGCAGAGGACCACTTCCACAGTCTGCACCTAACACATGAGCCAGATTGCACCCTGGATTATCATCTATGTTTACATGACTGTTAATTTTCAGGAAGGGAAGTACGCTAATAAATATTTGTATTTAAGGGTTACACAAATTACAAGGGAGTATCTCTGGAGAGTAGGGAAACCACTTTGGTTCTGGATACTTTCCTGACCAACTAAATCACCTCAATGTAAGTGATGCCTTAACTTCATAGTACTAATGTAACTAAGTCTGTAAATATTTTAATGGGCCAGGAAGTTTTGCAAACCCTCAAAGATTAAAAACTAATTTCTTGCCAGTTTTACAGGATGAAAAGGCCCTGAAAAGAAAAATCAGAGATTACGAGTGCAATCAAGGGGTTTTACTCACAAATAAATGTGCTGAATGTGTGTATGTTTGAGGGAAAACTTACTTTCCAACAGTTTTATCGATTTCTACAAACTTTTGATGAAATAAGTATTGCTCATCTGCTCTGGAAGATTTTGATCTTGATTTGGACTTGCATTTCTTAAACTTTGTTATGTCCCATCATCATCCATAAAGTGGTTCTCTCCTTCCCACTTTAAGCACCACATTATCATGTCAATGGTTTCATGTAGGAGTACATTTAAACAACTTCTAAATTAAAACATAGCTTCATCTCTTATCCAAGGTATCTTCACAGTAAAAGACACCTCAGAGACTCTAACCCTGCACAATCCTATGACTGCTCACACATTATTACATAGCAGGCGTCTGCTCTCATTTTGCCTCCCAAAATTCAGTACTGCTATTCTTGGAATGCTAGTTGACTTTGGGTTCTAGTACCATTTGTTGTGAAAAAGGCTTTCCATAGTTTCCTGTAGTATTTTCATCCTTGTCTCATGGATAAGGATGTCAGAGAAATCTTTAATGGAAACAAATGGATTCCAAAGCGGACCAACTTATTTAGAGTCTCACAGATTCCTGAGCAAGGTGGGTTTTTTTAACTTCCTCACATTTTATGCAAATGTAGTTATAGAAAAATATGAGAATGTTTAGTGTTTGTTCTCCATAGGCTAAACTGTGAAAATATATATCTAGGTAGGACTAGTGCACGTGAACACAAGCTCAGGAAACTAAAAGAAAAACATCTGATTCTGTAAATGAGCAGAGAACACAACAAAAGGCTCCTGACAATCTGTGAAATGCAGGTGGAATGGATTTAACATAATCCAAACACCTCTACTTGTGAACTATCTGAACTGTGAAAAGGGGGGTTCAGAGAGCATGGAATACAAATCAGATAAAATAACTGGTCTATTGTTTATTCAATAAATGTACATGTCACTTTATTTAGAGATGCCAAGGTTGCAGTCCTGGGAGTATGCCCATTAACTCAAGGGACTTAGTTTGGAACACACATATGCATGATTACACTGCAAGCCTCCCAGAGTTATTTTTCAGACCCTGAACAGTGCCAAGGAGACTGATTTTCTCCATGTATCTTGCACATCAGTTAAAATAAACATTTCTCTTTGGCTAGTGTAAATCCTATTGATATATATCTGGATAGGTCCCCTTCAAAGCTCCATGGAAGGAAATAGGCTCATTCCATTTGGTAGTTTCTGCGTCGTCTTGTCTACCTTAATACTTCTTTTGTCTGCCTGTTCTCACAAAATCCCAAACGATACTGTGAGTGCTTGTCTATGGGCTGGGTCATACATTCATAACATGATCACGGTGACGTTGCTAATGTGTGAATGAACTAATCTGAAAAGCTGTTATAATGACACAGCCAGCAGGACGTTCTTTTAGGTCCCAATAAGTCCAATGGAAGAGAGCTAAGCACATGATCAAGTCTCCTTTTGTAATCAACAGGGACTTACTCGTAAATGTGCTAAAGCTGAATTGCTTGTGCACACTGAGTTTAGTGATGGCATGTATCCCATTTTAAGAGTTATTTAAAAACATTTATTTTCTCACCTGCTGGAACAATAACTCTCCGTTCATTGGTGGTCATGTTTGGTGGTGGTATATGTTTTTCTTCCATGTAGCTTCCATAGTTCATGCCAACATTATCTGTGTTGCTGGTCATCTTTGTTCCTTTGGCCACACTGCAGTTGTCAGGGGAATTCCTAAGGAAAAATATAAAACTTCCTGGATAATACGTGTTAGAACACATTTCACCAAGCAGAGTTCACAAAAGAGAAGCTGCAGGAGGAGGTCTGCATGACATTTATCATGCAATCTAGTATCTTTCACATAATCCTTTTTTATTTTTTGTATCAACATTAGTTCTAGAAATGTATAACTGGTTTTAAGTTGGTGGATAGTCAGGTTCCATAAAATCCTAAAATATTAGTGGATTTGACTCCATATATAGCAAAGCAAATGCTGGGAAATATTTTGTTAATTTTTAGAAATGCAGCTTAAGACTGGGTGTCCATGCTAATGTTTTAGGCCTAGTAGGTGCAGAATGTTGCTTCTTCTAAACCTTAGAAAACATATATATTTCTCTTTCTACATTAGTTCACAAATCAGCAACAGGGAGCTAGCAGTCCTTACAAGAACTGGAAATAAGCAGAAATACTAGATTCTGGAACAGAGGAGGTCAGTGGAGCTGGCAGAAAGAAGTTCAAGGGACTGCAAACCAGAAATTGGCATTTCTGTTGATTTCCAGGACTCTTTCAGCAGTGTCAACTCCTAGCGACACAAGGGGTCCCAGGAATGCAGGAGGTAGTGTGTATACTACCTATTATAATTCAGCAATAAAATGATACATTCAGGCATATAACCAGCAGCAGTTATGCTCATGTCACACCAGGTTTGCCAAAACATCAGACTGGAGTTAATTCATTCAATTCTCCCAAAGACGTAGTGAAATATTGGTTACCTAAAAGTTACATAACATGATGGTCATTTCTGAGGCTCTGGGCACTTGGAAATAGCTTAATGCTGGGGATTTTGTACATAATTAGGTATTCCCAGAAGCTACACTGGGCCAAATATGTTCAGAGTAACATTTAAGTAACAATAAACACTTTGAGTTGTGCTTGGAAACAGATAGGTCCAGGATCAATATAACTGGAGCCTTATAATATGATAATAAAGAGCTATTAATGTGGTGAACATTCTGTACCATATGTAGCTTCTCAACTATTTTCCAGGTGTAGCCAAATTACAGTGCTTGGGTGTAATCAATTCAAGAGGTTAGCAAGGCATTGATAACTGTAGTAAGAAAAGACAGCACTGGTAGAACAGTAAAGCGAGAACCTGGGCTGTCTTTAGAATTAGACTAGGAGGTATGGAAATTAGAATCCAACACATCTAGAAGGCACTAGGTTGGAGTAGGTTGCATTACACCAAAGCTAAGAGGATGTTAAAGTGCCATGAGTAGTTCTTCATTTTCTTTACTTTCTTGCTGTGTCTCACCTCCATCCCAGTTTTTCACATGTTTCATGGGCATTTACTAAGCAGCAGTGCAACACAGCTTGCAGATACTTAAGCCCTGGCTCAACAGGTGTGGATACCTGAGCCCTACAGAATGAGGGGGCAGGGCTTCCTTTGTATCAGAACGGGCCACTCCTGTGATCTAGATTTTATGCTAATGAATTGAGTATAATAACTTGTTGAAGCTACCTATATTTACATGCTTGCTACTAACCAGTTAGGAAGGCCATATTGTATGTACACACACACACACACACGTATGTTAATTTGCCTTTTAAAGAAATTATAGCTACTTGTCTTTAAAAAGCCTTTAGCCCTGCCCAGGCAATCAATGCTTTCTTGCAAACAGCTGAAAGGAAATTGAAATGGTGGTCTTACAAAGCAGTTAATGTAGTGCAGTGCTGAGATCTATCCACCGATTTCCCAAAGGTTTTCTCATGCTGCAAAAGATGCTTCCACTTTTCTGCCTCATCTCAAATTTGTTTAGATTGAATTTCTTTGAATTATGATTCTGAGCCTGTAGAGCGTGTTGTCCCCTGATCCCTCTCTGCCTATTTCTTTCCTGTTACACATTCCTCCCATCTCTCCAGTATTCTGCAGCTTCTCTGCCTGTTCATATCCCTGATCTTAAAAGGGCCCATGGGAAGAGTCCAGGATGGTACAGACCACCACATGATTGTAAAAAGGCTGTATACTTGCACACACACCTTTGCCCCCTTGTAACTAATGTATGAGCCAGAATCTGACAAGGGGATTACTCCATAATTTTATTTCTCTTGTGTTTTTCCCAAAAGCAAATTTGTTCCATTGAAAATTGTTAAGTAGCATGGGAAAAATCCAGCACAGCACCAGCTAGGATTTTAAGTATGCTTCATCAGAAGTAACCCCTACTCATTTCTAGAATGTATGCTAGCACTGAAAATAAAGGTTTCTAAAAGAGCTCCTGCTTCTTTCAACTATCGGCTGCATTGAAATCATTTACATGTAAAATCATTTTAGCATTCCTTCTATCATAGGACTTTCTTTCAGGTGAAGGTGTCTAGGAATGCAGCTTTAGGGTACAATCTACTTTGTACAGAGACTGAAAAAATGTGCTACAGTTCTCAGTTTTCCCTAGCTGTCCATGTTGACTGGGGTACACTGGAAGTTGCAGAACTTCCCTTCCGTACTTTTTTGTCAACTGGCGTAGCATTGCCCCCTTAATTCATCATTTTTTGAACAAGTTCCCTCCCAGTGATCAGCATTACTGAAACTGGACTAGTAATTAAGCATTTTTTCTTTGCAGCTAGGTCAATCACACCACATGCTTTGAAAAAATATTTTTTAGTATGACAATTGAATTTTAGTACACAAAAAAAAAATATAGGTTTTTAAAAGGAAAAGAGAGTGACTAAACTCCAGTTATGGGGAAAGGGACAGCCTAGGAGGGCTTGATGGCGGCAACACATCCAGAAAATATAGGGAAGCAAAGCATAACTAACATGCCAGAACCCTATAGATTAATCTTCCCACCAGGTGCACCACCAGCATTTTGCCGGTCCACACTGGGATGGCCCTTCCATTTACACTCTGAAAAATGGCCACAAACCAAGACTTTAAAAAATAGGAGGGCAACAGAGAAAACACTGGAATGCAATGGCAGATGGTGTCACCAACTGGATTCTCCATAATAACTAATTGCATTACCACTAAAGGAAGTGAGTAGTGTGGAAGCAACGATATGCTGAAAGCAAATATAATGTGACAACTTCAGACTTTTTTTTATTTTAGATAGACTTTAAGTTACATCTTTGTAATCTCCCTCTCCACAGTAAGGTAAATAATAAATAGGTGTACTGATAAAATTGGTAGGGCCTAAATGAACAATGGGGTGTTATGAAATTTATAACATTACTTTTTTTTAAAGGATCCTGGAATGTAAATAATATAAATCTCTTGCTGCAACAATGAAGTACATCATCAATTTTAGTCTCTACTACTGCCATGGACAATCATGCATTTACAGTACAATAAACACTTTTCAATGTAGCCTTTAAAAGATCAAGTGGTGGCAATCAGTGCTTGGCAGACTTCTTGAGAGTCATTAGGGTGGGTTGCCAAACTGAATATAAACATAGAAAAGGGGGGAAATGCCAAATTAACATTTCTTGTTGGAATCCAGAATCATGTGCTCTAGAATTGTACTGTATAATCAGCTGGGGGAATGTATGATATTAGCAAAGGTCTCCAGACAAAAGCCACAAGGTGAGTTTCACAGTGGGACATCTGATCCCGCTCTATATCCCTAGCAAATATTCTCTCTTTCTACCTCATTTATGCTGCCCTCTTATACCATCTGCATCTAAAAATGAGGGGAACTTGGAAACAAACTTATCAGAATTTTTTTTAAGTTGATTTTTTTTTTAAAAAGGAGTTGCTCCAATATTTCACACAAAAGTCCTAACAGAGTTCCTTAGAACAGAGCCAGATCACTTATACCTGTTCTAAGTATTGGAATGAGAGCCATTTCCATCTGTAATCACCCATTTCTCTTGAGATAAACACGGAAAAAGTAAAGTGAGGAAAAGGTTGGGTCTCCACTTCCATGTCTATATAGAAACAACCATCCTCCATCACTTACTATGTAGCACATGCATTTTGCTACCTGAAACCATGTACTTCTTTGCTAAAAGTAAAGTGCAAATCAGCTCCAACTTTAGATTAGTTTGAGATTGGACCAATCGTACCATTTACTGAATCAGAAAAGGCCAAACTGATACCAAGATGAGAGACTAGGCAGAGGCAGCCACTAGGTTGTGGAGGCTGACCATGGGGTAAGGGCTTCTTTCAGGACAATCTGCTTTGTTTCTGACTAGTCAATGGAAAGAAGATCCAAACACAAAAGCAGCCTGTGGGGAAGTGTGCCCAGTATAAGGAGTGCAGCCTGGCAGTGAACCTTTCATAAATGCAGGCTTGAAGTATAATGTTTTCCTTCACGGAGGCATGTTATTTTACTGTTCTGTAACTAAGCATCACTAGCAGCAGCATCTTTTTCTTCTCCTTTTCTCATCACCCCTCCCCATAGCCTCTAAAACTTGCAAATCTATCTATCTGGTATTTACATTCCAAACACAAATGCACTGTTCTCTTTGACACAGGGTGGGTGTCAAGGGTAGGTGCTGGAGGTCTCCTGCCAAGGGTCCACTGGTATGCACCTGTGTTGTGAAATATGCTTCCCAGAAAGCTTTGCCTGACTCTAGGCTGTGTTCTTTTTGGTGCCAGGTGAATATCTTTTTATTTTACCAAGCATTTGAGTTTTTCAGTTTTTGTTTCAGACCAAGTATTGTATTTTAAATTGTTACATTGCTGCTAGGTGTTCTTTGGGTATTATTTTTATTTTATACTGTGGTTTTGAACATTTGATGTTCATATAAAATGTATCATGTTATGTTTTATGGTTTTAATTATTAAGAACTGGGAGCTTTGGCTCTGGGTAGTATAGAAATGTAGTCAATAAAGTTACTGAGGACAAAACCAAAGATCGCACACTTCTTTTATTCATATCTTGCAATTATATCTCCCCCAGCTTTACTCTAAAGTTGGTGAAAGGCCCCCAGTCCAGACCTTAAAAGTACCCCTACTTCCCCACAAGTCACCTAGACTGGGTCCCCTGCCCCTATTCTATATAACTAGTTGCTAGATGAAG